ATATTATATTATATTATTATTCATATTATATTATCATATTATATTATACAATGGTAAATTAAAATAAAAAAATTCTACCTATGTGTCATATGTACGACCTCAGTTATGACTGGCAAAACTCTTCTCATCACAGAATGCTGTGATTTACTCTAGATTGAAAAAAACTTTTCAGAACTTAAACATCTTGTCATTTCTGCTTTGGTCGGATTTATTTGAAAACACAAGGATTTAAAAGGTTTTATTCTCTAACAGAAGCATCCTGCAGTTTCTCCTGCTGAAATGTGTACACAGCGATGTTGTGTTTGGTCTGAAATCCATATGCTGTCTTTTTCTGCTCTCTGTAGTGAAGTTTGTGACTTCCTGAACTATGAGCATCGAGTTTTCAACAGCGAGGAGTTCCTCAGGTCCAGAGAGACGACCGATCACGAGTTCTACAAGAAGGTAAATAAAGACTCCCGTTCGGTTATACACTCAGCATGTGCTTCTCTAACAAACCTACTCACTCATGCATGTGTGTCTGCTTGTAGGTTTTAGACACTCATATATTCCACTCATTTCTACGGGACCGCTTGAACAGGAAGAATGACGCTTTCACTCACATGCAGCTGAACATCCGCTCAGAGACTCGCAGGTAAATAAAAGTCAACATTAATGGACTCTTTCATCTCATCTCATCTCTTTTTTTTTTCTTCCTGTGTCCAGTTTTTATTCATTAAAAAAATATTCTGTGTTATTTTTCAGCTGTTTTTTATTACTCGTTTTGCATTAACATGCCAAAGCATATAAATTAAGTACATTTACAGTAAATGACAATCAAGAAAGCAGGCCAAAAATAATACAATTCTAAATCCATTTAAATTTCTAAATCCTCTTTCTGAGGTAGGACTTCTTCTGTATGCGGATACGGCACTGATTTAATGTTTGTGTGCTGAGTTTGTACAATGTAAACATTCGGGGCTTTCGCACCATATAGTTGTAGGACTAGCCAGAAGAGTCGTTCCTAGAGAACCAATTTCTCCCTCGGGCCGTTATCCTGTTTACATTCGCACCAGCCGCAGGAACTCTGAAGCAGCCGACAGCAACATCAGCTATGTTTCCATCCAAAGATTCTAATTAAACTCGGAATATTGCATAAAACATTTGCAAATAAAGCACTGTTTCCATCCAATGAGTCAAAGAGAACAAAATTGTCACTTCCTGGTAAACTGGCACTAAATGTCACTAAGAAAACTAGGAGAAGCCACTGAATACAATAATTTTTATATATGATAAATTACTCGCGCCTCAGAGCGAGCAGACGAAGCACAATAAATGCAGTCATTGCTTTCGGAGGTGGATGCCAGCTGTTTGGGAACGCAGTCGTGTAAGACCATTATACAGAAATACTTTGACGACAGACTTTGCTCAGGCATTTCAGAATGACCATAGCAACATATAGATGCTGTGAACGAGATCGGTCCGCTGCTAGTCAAGTTATCCCGTCTCACAAGTCACATGACTTTTTCGATGCGCGTGGAGGAATTTATTCAGTAAATGTGTTTCCATCGTAGTTTATGCACATTTTTTCTTATTGGATAAAAAGTTTATCCTACTCAAATGTGCTCATACGTTTTTATACGCATTTTTAGAATTTATGCGCATCTTGGCGTTTCCATCCAGTGTTTTGTTTTATGCGATATTCCAAAATGCACATAAAAATAGGTGGATGATTCAACAACCGGTGAATGGAGGACGCGGTGATCGGAGCTGTTTTTGTTGTGTGTCGTGGCGTTTCGTTATATTGGAGTTGAAATGTAAACGCACAATTTACGTGATTGAAAGAGCATGAAAATCTGACTAAATCTCCTATGAAAACTTGCAGTGTTATCATTGAGGCTGAGAAAAGAACACAATGCTGCACACAACAGGTAAATGCCGTTATTGTCACTGTTTTCCATTTTTGTGGAGTAAATATTTTTACATGGCTTTTTAAAAATGCCGTGTAGCCAGTGTTTCGTATGCGTTTGGCCAATCAGCATACACTTACATCACTGGTAGTTCCTATAGAACTGTTTTAGACCCTTCTCTGAAGTAGGAGCTCATTTAGTTCCTGCAAACAGAGTTCTTAGAACTAAAACCGTTCCTAATTCCTACGGTGCGAACACGCCGAAAAGCGGGAACTTCCACCAATAGTTCTAGCAACTATGAAAAGGTTCCTCTGGTGCAAAAGGCTCTATTGTTTACAACTTTTCAGCTGATCGTGCATTAGGGATGCTTGATGAAAAGTTAGTAATCGGGAATGTGACTATTCAGATTAGTGTGAATACATGGGATCTGTGCATGTAAATCCAGCCTAATAGACTGATCACTGTTTATAGGGCTCATTGGTGACCAGAAACAGAGGACACAAATAGGTGTCAAACAAATACAGGAAACAGTTAGTCATCACAGGAAACAAAAAACATCATCACCTTCTCATTCCCTTTCTGTCCAGCAATGAGAATGAGGCATGAATCTGTCTCAGTGTGATGCTTTCTATTGAAGGAAGGGGAAGTTAAACACTATATTTACCACCACAGCAAACCTACATACCAGTGTGTACCATTGAAAACATCTCGCATGTGAAAGGCAGACAAAAGACAAGCAGAAGCAAAAGCAAAAGCAGACAAAATACAAAAACTAAAGTATGACCATTTTTCAGATAATTTTGACTCATCTCTTCCTGGTAACAGATACCAAGGAAAAGTAACCAGGGTAATTTTTTTTTTTTTTTTTTAGCTGGTAATGGCATTAGTTTGTGTGTAACTTAACAGGTTTTGTAAGTGATTCTGTCACAGCAGCCTGTGTTTTTCTTCTGCAAAAGTGAAGCATAGTTTTCACGGTCCTACACGTTTACCTGCTGTAAGTGAATTTACTGTAAACATGTTCCCATTCATTTCTACTCATTGAGGAACATGATTATCAGCAGGTCACACATGCAGTACAAGCCATTAGGTTAAAAAACAATATTTTTTTAAAGATTTAGTTTGGGTGATATCATCTGACACGAATGAGCTGAAATAAAACACATCTCCACCTCTGTTGCTCAGGATGAGAGCCATGACAGAGTCTCCTCGCAGACCAGCGATGGAGGAGATCAGCAAGTACGTCAGACCAGAGAACGGCCTGAGCAGCAGGCTGGGGGTGAGTATGCCAAACCTGGCCGACCACCGCCTGCTCACCGTCCCGGTCCGACAGACGTCCATGAAGACCATGCCTTTCCACAGCTGTGAGGAAACTTGACTAAACTTTTAACAACATATCATATATTCTGAAACAAGTATTAACCAGGGAACCTCCAGGGATTCATGTGGTTTAATAAATGTTTTTTTTTTTTCTTTATTGTAGTGTTGGTGCCATAGATATTGCAGGACGTGCTTCTCTTTTAAGATAAATAAGAGAAATATATTACATTATTCATAGTATAAAAACAATATAAAGTATAACATATAAAGTATATAACAAGTTATTGAGAAAAAAAATGATTTAGTTACATCTTGATTTAGTTTTTTTAGCATTTCAGTTGTTACATAGTTTTAAAATTATTTAAAGGAGACATATTATGCCCCTTTTTACAATATGTAATATAAGTCTCTGGTGTCCCCAGAATGTGTCTGTGAAGTTTCAGCTCAAAATACTCCACAGATCATTTATTACATCATTTTGAAAATGCCCATTTTGAGTGGAAGCAGAAACACGCTGTTTTTCGTGCCTGTCTCTTTAAATGCAAATGAGCTGCTGCCCCCGCCCACTTGTCCAGAATAGAACATCTGTTTTGGTTCTGATTAACATGTTTATCGCGCTGAAATCATGTGTTTTAAACCATATTAGTTTATTTTGCCATTAGAACTGGTACACCGTTGTCGCTTGCGAAATCAAAATGACGGTGCCATAGGTGGAAACGTGCACAAATTAAGAGGCGGTAATATTATAACGAGATCCCTTTGCAACGTCACCAAGGGAGCGAAATCAGACGCGCTCGTTTTCTCAGACGCTTGCAGAAAAAGGCTTACCAAAACAAAGTTACTGGGTTAATCTTTTTCACGTTTCCTTGATTGGTAGATGCACCGGGGACCTGATTATAGCACTTAAAACCTGGAAAAGTCCGATTTTCATGATATGTTACCTTTAATCTTTTAAGCATTTTGAATTTTTTTGCATTTTAATTGAGACCATTAACATTTATGTTAAATATACATTAATATTAAAATTATTAATATATTTTTTAAATAATATTGATATTAATTATATTAATTCTGTAATAATGTTAATTTAATCTATTTTAATCCTGCGGCCCCCGTAAAAGTTTGCTGAGAAGCACTGTTTTATAGAGTGTTTATTGCACATAAAAAAGAGCATATGCCCTCAGCAGGTGATGTCATCAATATTTTTGGTTTATTTTCCTGGAAGAGAAATGTGTATATCTGCTATACGTTTATTTTGTCAACCATGTGTGCACTAACATATAGGGTCTGTTTACACCTGGTCACTTCATGTGTTTTTTCTGATCGGATAGCTGTCTGATTTGTTAAAGCGGTTCCATTTACACTTGGCCACATAAATGTGTCTCTGCAAATCTGATATAAATCTGATCTTCAATTCCCACACTATATGGAAATTTAATGGAGTTCACATCAACAAAAGCGACAGATATGCGCTGCATTTTATTCATCATCAGATAATTTCAAGATGAAAGACCACAACAGGAGACACTCAGCTACTCATCCACAGCGATGCGTGTTGCATTAGTGCTGTCATATCTGACTACAACACATCATATAGCCTATAACACGCTCTCACATGTTTATTTTTTAACATTTTGGGAGGAGTAAACTTTACAAATGTGGCTTTAACATCCAGATGCATTCACACTTGTTCAGTTTCGTCTGGAATGCGGCCCAGATCACCTCCTGAAGTGGTTTGAGAGATCGGATTTAATCCATCTCCAAAGTGTTTCAGAGGGCATTTACACGTCTCTATCCAATCAGAGAAAACGCATGAAGTGACCAGGTGTAAACAGGCCCATAGACAGACTAAAAGCTATAAAACTTTCATTTGTATTTAAGAAAGAAAGTAAATATAGTCAGGTTTGATTTTGTGTCATCTATAAAACGTTGAACAAAGTCATAGTAAGTGTCACTTATCTCCTATTTTATGTTAACAGGTTCCTGGAGTCCCTCAAGGCCAATCAAAACCTTTAAACTCCCAGAATTCCCTCCTCCGCTCGCCTACCAATACGTTCAGAGTTACTACAATGATCTCATCAAAGAGTTGAGCAAAGCCATCTCCACGGCAACCCCAGATGACTCCGCCATCCTGGCCCGTTATTATTACTTACGAGGACTGGTGAACTCTGTTGCCGGAAAACGCGTGGATGCCCTCGGAGACTTCCAGAGCTTGTATAAGACAGACATGGACATCTTTCCTGCCGAGCTGCTGAACGCGCTGGTCGAGTCTCTGCCGGCGGAGGAGAGGAGGATGGCCGAGCGACGCCCCGATTTGAAGCGTCTGATCAGCCGGGTGAAAAGAGAGAATGAACGGGAGCGGGCGCGACCGATGGATGGCGGGACGGTGAAGAGATTCGAACTGCCTAAGAAACACTTGCACATGGAGGACTTTGTGCGGCGCGTTCAGGAATCTGGCATCGTGAAGGATCAGGACACAATCCAGCGGCTGTTTGAGGCGCTCACTGTGGGTGGGTACAAAGCACAGCCAATCAGAATAGAGCTGTTGTTTGTTTGGGCCAAAGTGATGAGCAAACTAACTGGCTAGGGAAACTTATCGAGATCTGGCAACCTTTCCTGTTCTTGAAATCCAAGGCTGCTTCTGAAAGCTTAGGCAGCTGACTTGATGCCTTGCTGCCCTATCAGGCAATGACTTTGCAGGCAGCGCTTGTGTGTGAAGGTACCTTCCAAAACTGATTTTGGACAGACTTCGGAGACAGTTTAATGATCTAGAACAAAGATCTAGATCTGGAACTTTGGTGATAACTAAGCAAATATTTTATTACTACAATACTAATTTCTCGCTAGAAATGACATCAGAAGTGGAAAAAGTTGGTCAAAAATTTAACACACAAACTGACCATCAACCTCAGCTTTCAGACGCCATATTAGTTTTAGCGCAACTGTAACAAATTTGAATGGGTGCAGGGACAGATAGACGGATGGATGGATGGATGGATGGATGGATGGGTAGATAGACAGGTAGATGATGGATGGATGGATGGGTAGATAGACAGGTAGATGATGGATGGATGGATGGGTAGATAGACAGGTAGATTATGGATAGATGGATGGATGGGTAGATAGACAGATTGATGATGGATGGATGGGTAGATAGACAGGTAGATGATGGATGGATGGGTAGATAGACAGATTGATGATGGATGGATGGGTAGATAGACTGGTGGATGGATGGGTAAATAGATAGGTAGATGATGGATGGATGGACAGGTAGATGATGGATGAATGGGTAGATAGACAGGTAGATGATGGATGGATGATGGGTAGATAGACAGGTAGATGATGGATGGATGGATGGATGGGTAAATAGATAGATAGATGATTAAATAAAAAAAATGTAAAAAATTAAATAAAAAAATTAAATAAAAAATTAAATTAAAATTAAATTAAAATTAAAGGTAGATGATGGATGAATGGGTAGATAGATAGACAGGTAGATGATGGATAGATAGATAGATAGATAGATCGATAGTACTGTTATATAAATTTGGCTGATGCAGCAGTTGATGGCCATAGTTGTAAATTATTTTACAACTAGTATTTTTACTGTGTTGTGTAAAATATACAGTTGGAATTAGTGCTGCACGATAAATCGCATGCAATATTTAACGCGCATCTTGCCAGAAAGCCGGTTCTGTAATCAGCGGTAAATCTCCATCACCTGCGGGATTTCACATTGAGCAGCATTAACTACACAGAGCCGTTGTTCACAGATGACGAGCTGCGCAAAATATGAACGGGGTTTTGCGCAGCTCGTCAGTGAACAACGGCTCTGTGTAGTTAATGCTGCTCAATGTGAAAGCACGCAGGTGATGGAGATTTACCGCTGATTACAGAAGCGGCTTTACTGATAAGATGCGCGTTAAATATCGAATGCGATTTATCGTGCAGCCCTAGTTGGAATATATTATATTAGTGATAATATCTGCTTCCAATATTGGCCCAGCGACTGGAATATGCTGATATTAATATTGGCTGATAGCGATATGCTCACTGATGTATCATGCAACACTAGTGTTTTTGGTAAAAATGGCTTTGGTTTGTCAGGTGTGGATTCCACTTCCCAGTCTGTGTTTTACCTTGAGCTGGAGGGTAAGCATAGCTTGCATGTGCCATCAGTACTAACAGCATCACGGCATGATGGCACACGTGTGACTCCGTACCTGCATGAGTGTGTGTGTGTGTGTGTGTGTGTGTGTGTGTGTG